CTAGCCTTCATCCTCGGATCCGTGGTTTTTTGGATGATTTGTTCGGTATCAGGGCAAGTTAATGCCAAATTAAGAGCCTCTTGGCATTCTTTTGGCAGACCCTATCACTACTACAAAAAAGCCTTCCAATGTCAGTAGGTGGCGTCGGTTTAATATAATATAGTGGCAGACTAGACAGTTGCGACACTTATTGCACATGACGTCGGATTTACCATCGCTTATAATCGTCATAAACATTTAATGTCGTTTTTAAATCGACATAAACATTTAATGTCGCTTAAAACCAACATACATTTTAATAATTTTTAAATACTAGCGTTGCTTTAAATAATACAGTGTCACTTTTAAGCTACATAAAATATTGGTGTTGCTTCTAGCCGACGCTAATTATTGTTTTTAAAATATTTTAAAGCCTGTGTTGGTTCTTAGGGACATAGATTTTAGTTTTTTTAAATATTTTGAAACCCAGTGTTGGTTGTAAGCGACAAATTGATGATACACTCTCCCCCGTGTATTCTTCTTTCTCTCTTGCGTTTTTCTTATTCGTTCTTCCCATTTACAAACCCTCCCCATGTGTGCTCTCTTGCACCTTTCTTATTTGTTCTTCCAACTTCATTTGTTCCTTCTTCACAACAGTAAGTTTTTCTTACTTGTAATATTTTTATTTTCTCCTCTTATGTTTTATTTTTATTTACAATTTATTTTTGTAGGGAATTTATTTGAGCTGGTTAAGTACATAAAGAATTGATCGACGACGGAATTCTTCCATAATTCAGAATTTTATCACTAAATTCTTTCATTTTTAAATTGTATGATACACAAGTTTATTTATTTAAAAATTCTAATTTAAGTACTTGGATAAATTTCTACTATTTTTGTTAAATTAATAAATATTTAGTCAAATTATTTAATTTTGTCACTTGAATTGTTATGAGAAAATGGAAATGAATAATATTTATAAGCATTTATGTTAAATTAACAATATTCAATATAACATGGACTTATAATATTCAGTAATATAAGAATAATTATGTTAAATTAATAATTCGAATTTATTTATACTTTCATTAAGTTTAACATAAGATTTTGTGGTATCCACTAGTGTAAATATTTTAAATTGAAGATCGAGTTCATTCATTGTATTCATATAGGGTTAAGGAGTGTAGCTGCAAAAAATCATCAAAATCGGAGTTAAACTCACCGTTAAATCGTGATTTTTCGTTAATAACCGTCGAAAAGTTTTGTCCTGTTACTTGATCTCAGAATGTTTGTTTTTTTTCCATTTTTGGTGTATGCGATCTTGAAGCATATATAAACAAGTCTGGTAGGTTGGATCGTTGAAATTAGTTTCGTAGAATGCATGTCCCATAAAAACAATAGATTCACTAACACTTAGAATTTATTTATACTTTCATTAAGTATAACATAAGATTTTGTGGTATCCACTAGTGTAAATATTTTAAATTGAAGATCAAATTCATTCAATGTATTCATATAGGGTCAAGGAGTGTAGGTGTAAAAAATAATCAAAATCGGAGTTAAAATCACCGTTAAATTGTGATTTTTTGTTTATAACCGTTGAAAAGTTTTGTCCCGTTACTTGATCTCTGAATGTTTGTTTTTTGCAATTTTTGGAGTATGCGATCTCGAAGCATATATAAACAAGTTTGACAGTTGGATCGTTGAAATTAGTTTCAAAGGATGCGTATCCCATCAAAACGATATATTCACTAACACTTAGAGTTTATTTATACTTCCATTAAGTATAACATAAGATTTTGTGGTATCCACTAGTGTAATATTTTAAATTGAAGATTGAATTCATTCATTATATTCATATAGTGTCAAGGAGTGTAGCTATAAAAAATCATCAAAATCGGAGTTAAAATAACCGTTAAATTGTGATTTTTCGTTGATAATTGTCGAAAAGTTTTGTCCCTTTACTTGATCTCTGAATGTTTGTTTTTTGCCATTTTTGGCATATGCGATCTCGAACCATATACAAACAAGTTTGACGGTTGGATCGTTGAAATTAGTTTCGAAGGATGCGCATTCCATCAAAACGATAGATTCACTAACACTTAGAGTTTATTTATACTTTCATTAAGTATAATATAAGATTTTATGGTATCCACTAGTGTAAATATTTTAAATTGAAGATCGAATTCATTGTATTCATATAGGATCAAGGAGTGTAGCTATAAAAAATAACCAAAATCGGAGTTAAAATAACCGTTAAATCATGATTTTTCATTTTATAACTGTTGAAAAGTTTTGCCTCATTACTTGATCTCTGAATGTTTTTTTTTTTGCGATTTTTTTGCCAATGCGATCTCGAAGCATATACAAACAAGTTTGACGGTTGGACCATTGAAATTAGTTTCGTAGAATTCGTATCCCATCAAGTTCAATGGTGTGTGTGTGTATATATATATATTTATTAAGTAGATTTAAATATATATATATATATATATATGTAAATATATATTTAATAAGTAGATTTAAATTTATTTAAGTAGATTTAAATTAGTTTGGGATCGAGCTGTGATGTTATTTAAGTGCGAATTGGTTAATAGTGAAAGTCCACGAAGAATGAAGACCCGATCAATATGGATTTATTATGGTGAATTTCAATCAATTGGGATTTAAAGAGGATCCTTTCATATTAGCATCACAAGCATTACAAACATTTTACGTGGAGGACACAATTGAAAAAGATTGGCACGTAGTTGTTCGAACCCAGCCGAGAGATTTGTTTGACGTATTAAAGGATAGTGGTGCAATTAATGATTATGCCATACCTAACTTGGATGATCGAATTCTTGATAATGAAAATTTCCATACAAGGGTTGGTGTGGAAAAGACTCATTTTCTTGAATCATTACCGTTGCCTACCAAGTTCGTTAATCATGCCAATGCCGACGACGAGCTAATAGATGATGACAGGGAATAAATATATTAATTATTTTATGTATTAATTAGACCATGTTTCAATTTGTGTGTGATGATATCTTATCATAAAATTATATTTCTGTTTTTTATTAAGTATTATATATAAGTTAAATTTTATTTATTAAAATATTATATGAGATAACATAACTGCTTATTTTTTAACTTTGGGTTAAATCTTTTTTTTTTTATTGGCTTGTTTCCTGTTGCTTTTAGCTGACGGCATACGTCATCTGCATCGGTTTAATTGAAATATTTTGGGCGGGAATTTCCCTTTTTTTAGCACGAGCAAATGGTTTGGAAGAGCTTTTTTAGTACGTGTCAGAGTTGGTGTCGGTTTTAACCGATGCAACCTCTGATTATTTCAATGCCACATCTGACATGTCAGCCTCACGTCAATTTTTACCGATGCAAACCTGCCTAATTTCGAGGCGCCTGCTACTCTGTCAGGGTCACATCTGTTTAAACCGATGTAAAGCTGTCCCTATTTCGACGCCACGACTTTTCAGTCAAAAGTGTGTCAAGTTGCGTGTATCTAGGTCATGTCAGAGATAGTGTCGGTTTGAACCGACGCAAAGTTCAATTATTCCGATGCAAAGTTCAATTGTTCCGACACTACTGCCAATTATTCCAACACAAAGTTCAATTATTCAGATATAGTGTCGGTTTTGACCGACGTAACGTGTTCATATTTCGACGCTAAGTTTTAATCCATATTCAAACCCCCTTCTTTCCCATTACTTCCGTGCTTCCATTTCTGTCTCGTTTACTCCCTCTCCTTCTCCCATTTCAGCCTTACTCTTTCCCTATTTCTGCCATACTCCTGCTCCTTCCACTAACTTGTGCTATGAATAATTCTAGTGAAGATCAACGTTCTGACGAACTTCATTTGGAAGAGGAGGAGTTCGAAGTCGGTTCTTTTCTGAATTATTATTAAATTCAATTTTTGTTTTGTGTTTAAACTTATATTATGCTTAAATTGAAAATTTACATTGCTTTCCTGGTTTTTATTTATTTTATTTATTTATTTTTTGTATTAATAAGGAACATCTCAATGGAGGCGTGGATCCTCAATTCCCAAATGGACGAAATAGCTTTGTTCATTTGATTCTTCCGGAAAATGCATTAGTGATAATTCTAGTGCTTTTGCAAAATATATAGCAGGGGAGGTTAGAGACCACAGAAATCTCCCGTTGGTGAGTGATTGGCGTAAGATTAAGGAAGAAGATAAGGAAGTTTTCTGGAAGAGAATAAAGGTATAGATATTTTTATTTTTACTTGAAAATAGAAGAACAAGTCAATGATAGTAATAATAATTGATTAGCTTGGTTTTTATTTATTTATTTGTTTATTTATTTATTTTTTATGGATGCAGGGAAATGTTTTTTTTTTGAAGATGCAGAAATAGTAAAAATGCCTATGATCCGCCATATGACACTTAAGGTTGCGGAGCATGCGCACAAAGAGTTTAGAAATAAGTTTAAAAAAAAGTTTTATACTAATAAAGCAGCGGAGGTGCGCAGTCACCTTCTTCGCGAAGTGAATCCTGCACAGTGGGTTGCATTGGTAGCTTACTGGAATAGAGAAAAAAAAAGGGGTAATCGTTATGATTTATTTCGTTATCACTTTAAATTTGTCTAAAAAATTTCTGTTTTTTTTTTTCAGGTTGCTGAAAAAAATAAGATTAATAGACAAATAAAAACAATGAACCATACTACTGGAACCAAATCTTTTGCAAGAGTGCGGCAAGAATTTGTATGGATTGTACATTTTGAAGAAATGTTATTAGTTTTAAATAATCTATAGTTGTTAGAAATTTTATTTTTGATAAAGCGGAAGAAGGATGGGAAAGAGGCAGATCCTATAACCTTTTTTCATGAATGTCATACACGAAAAGATAAAAGTTAGATTGATGAAACTTCGGAGTGTATAGGTAATTGATTTTTTCGTGTTAGTGTTTTGTTGTTATTAATTTTTATTATCTATAGCTTATTTATCTGTTTTACGATTGTTTGAATTTTTATTTTTAAAAATTGTAATGCAAGGCAACAATGGAGAGCAGTCTACAAACTTTGATTGAGTCGGGACAAGAGGATAATGAAGAACTTAGGAATCGAGTTTATATTGATACAATGGGTCCTGAGACTCATAATAAAGTCAGAGGATATGGTCATGGGGTGACTCCTGATATGGTGTCCTATGCATCTTCTTCATCTTCTACATCAAATTCCTCTAAGAGGTCATCTAAGAGTTCAATGGCAGTGCTGATGACTCAAAATAATGAGTTGAGGATGAGGGAAGAAAATACTAATAAATGGATGGCGGATCTAGAGGTAAGATGGAACAATCAGAGTAGCGGCAGAATCAGTTGATTACGATGTTACTTCAAAGATTTCAGCCGCAACCGCTGAATAGACTGAGAGCCCAACAGCCAGTTTTTGTATATTATGTGGAATGTTAGATGTAAAATATTTGTATATTTTGGCACTATTTTTCTTGTTAATTATTTTTATTAATGTTTGTTTTGACCTATACTTAAATTTATTATTTTGGTTAAATATTTTTTTTTTTTAGTTACAATTAATTGGAAACGAGTGCAGATTTTCAAAAAATTTTATTATTATTAACAAAGGTGGTGTCGGTTAAGACTGTTACTAGTTTGAATATTTTATTTATTTAATTGTTATCTGACGTCGGTTAAAGGATATTTTATTAGTTTATTTTATCATGATGTCGGATAAAACCGACACTAGGTTGGATATATATAGTTTATTTTATTAGTTCACGTCGCTTTTAACCGACACTAGGTTGAATTATACGACACTTTAAACTGACGTCAGCTTGAGTATCGCTTTTAACTGACGCTGAGTAGTGGCAGATTAAGCATACAAAGCAACATTGAAGCCCTTTCGTGATGCTAGCATTAGTGTCCCTATTCCAATTCGACATTACATTGTTTTATGTTGGATTTTTGCCAAATTTCCAACATAAATTGGATTTCTTGTCAGTTTTAGCTCTGCCGGGGATAGCCTGTATTGTAGTAGTGTATAAGTCGTTAGCCGAATGCTTCTTGTGGAATTCCCACATGTATTCTAAAGCTTCGCCGAGAAACAGTGGGTGGAGATTCCGTCGGACTTTGATTAATGGCTTTTGTGGGGGTAGTGGAGGAAGTTTGCTTTCGATTTACTTCTGGAAGTGCTCGAGGTCAGCTTTCATCTCCCCAGGCCAAAGAAGTAGTTTGATTTGCTTTTCGGATTCCTCAATCGTGGTTTCAAAGTCATAATCGATCACTTTCTTTCCTTGAAGCAACTCGGCCATGAGGGCCAAAGGTTGTCGGTCATCTTCGTTATCCATCGTTTCTTTCAGCTGCCATTTGGTGGTCAAGGTAGTTTGGGCTGCCCGTCAGCGAGCCATACAGTCTATTCTTTAGCGCCGACGTTTTTGTGATTTGGACAACGCGATATATACATCGGTAGGGGAGTTGTAGGTATACCAATTTTGGTCATGTGGTTCAGATGGTTTAAAGGTGCGCTGGTTGGCTAATGAACTTGAGCTACCAGAGTTGCACACATAATACTCCTCATTGTAAAACTGCGCGTCAAAGTCAAGACATTATCTGGCCGAAGATGGCTTGTTATCTTGTACCTGGAAGCCAAGCCTATCGAAAACTTTCTAGCGTTGGCTTGCACCAAGTACCTTTTGGGATGTTGCCGCAACTGTGGGCATCCATTGCGGTATTTCAACCTGAAGTGGCTTTTCCTTCGGCTCAGCTAAGATGACGTTTGCTTTGCACCGACTACATAAAAATATCGGCCTATCAGTTTCCTCTATGCTAGAGTCTGACATTGACTCGACAATAGCTGGTCTTAAAAAATCTTTAGGTGGCTCATTTGAAAATAAATCAATCTTTAATCGCAGCCGAGAGTTTTGCTTAGAGATGAATTACATTGGAATGAACTCGGTCTTCCCTTTTCCTTTATTCTTTGGTAGATAAGCATCTACCATGCTTACCGTCGCCGAAGGAAAAGGATCGACGTGAACGATCATATGTTTCTCGGGGAACTTAAGCTTACCATTGTCGATCCAGCTTTGGATGACGTCACGAAATATGACACAATTGTTTGTCGTATGTTTGTTCGAGTTGTGGTGGTTACAATACGTTTTTCCTTTCAAATCTTCAGCCTTGGGAATATTATGCCTTGGTCGAAGTTTGACAATTTTCACAAGTAATAGCTAGTTGAAGATGGCGTCGGCCTTGGTGATGTCAAAAATGTAGACTTTGGACTTTTTGACAGCAGCTTCCATAAAGGCCGAATAGGTTTTGGCATCGTTGGAGTTAACATGAGCCAATGGTTTGCATATGTATGGTTTTTTTATTACTATCTCGACCGCATCTATACTGGCATATTGGGACTCTTCTCCATCGACCGATGCATAACTAACCGTAGAGTTCTTATAGATTGTTCCTCAGGATGGGTATATCGAGATCTTCTCCTCTCGGAGCAAATAATCATATTGCTTGACATGTTGAGCCAGTTTGTACATATCTCGAAAATTTTCCCCTAAGAATTTCTTTTTGTACTCCACATCTAGGCCGTTTAGGGCAAGCCTAACGAACTCGACTTTAGGGAGAGGTACTCGGCACCAGTTTCTGGCCGACTTAAACCTCGTAAGGTATTTCGTTGACAACTCGTTAGAGGCTGAAGCATCCTAGGCCAAAGATTATATTGACACGTCCATCCCTGGTTGATAGAATTGGTCATGAAATTTCTCAAATAGTTATTCCCAACTTTGGATGGAGTTGGGTGGGAGGTTGATATACCAGGCAAATGCTAAGCTGGTTAATGAGAAAATGAACAATCGTAGGTTATGGAAATCACTGTTAACGTCCCCACATTGAGCAGTGAATCGAGCCATGTGTTCTAACAATGACAGAGACGACTTTCTAGCGAAAATGCTGAAATCTGGGATCATGAACCCCTTAGGGTACTCAAAGGCAAGATATGGGTGAATGAATTTTGGAAACTTCAACCCCTTTTTCAAGGCCGAATCAATCATTCTTTGAACTTTGACCATATCAACAGATGTTGTTTCTGCTCTTTGATCAAATCCGTTTGATCTGCTGGTTGGCCCGCCACTTTTTTCTAAGTCAATCATTTTGAGCCGTGCAGATCATGTATCAGCCTGTACCGTTGGCAATGGGTTATTCTTGAAAAGAAGCTGCTTGGAACGATCAGCAGATCCATCTTCGTGAGCTTTATTAACCAGGACTTCAAGCAACTTGTTGTGTATAGCGTTATTATCTCGCATGTCTTTAAGTATGCTTTTCACCTCTTGGCTGAACATCTGCTCAAATTGCCAAGATTGCTTTTCAAGTCATCGTCAAAGAAACGACCTAGTTGGTGGGTCAGAGGCCTCCTATCCTTGTCACAATCCTCCATTAATCCTTTAACAAAAATGTTTTTTTGTTGTTTTAGTGGGGATTTATGCATCACAGAGCTGACCGTCGAGACTAATTTCCTTTTCTCGGCATGTCACACTTGTGGCTTCGAGTGTCACAGCAGCAGAAGGATTATGTGCCTATAACAAGCCGTCTTGTCCTGGGTTCTAGATTGGAGGATTAATTTTCGATTTTCCCATAACTGTTTTCTTTTTTACTAACCGTGTCTCAATGGTCACGAACTTCGTAGCTTTAGCACTAGGTCCCATCGCGAGTGCCAAAATGTTAACCTTAAAAACTACCAAGCATACATGGAGGGCATACAGAGTAAATAATGAGCTAACTACGTCATTCGGTTATGTGCGAGGCGTGCCAACTCAACGGCCAAGCTTGGTCGGGGAGTAAATATGTTGATGTTGCGTGGAGCGCACTGTTGACTTTTTGATCTTGCGACTGCGACCGAGAAAGGAACACGTCTCGGCCTTTGGGCTCTAGAGCCTGAAGACAAGGCTGCTAGATCTGTGAAGTTCACAAATTGTTGGCTCTAGGTTCGGTCACAGTGATTATATTCGTGAGAGTATAAGCACGCCGAATTGGCACCAGACTATATGGACACAAATACTCGAAAGAGATGTATGTCTTGATGGTAAATGTGGTTCGGCCATCGGAATGCCGAACTTTAAAGTGTACTTGTGAATATCTAATCATAAAACAACTCGACGTTCAACTTGCCGAACCTAGTAACTTGTAACACCTCACTTCGCCAAGAAGGCTGATGAGACGACCTCTACCAACAAGGACTCGAAAATCCTTGTCGATTGAGACTTGGATAAATAACTAGTCGGTCTCAAATCAGTGCTGTTTATCCAAACTGAAGGTGCTCCTTGATTGGCTAATTCTACAGCTCTAGTGTTGTTTATCCAAACTGAACATGTCGCCGATTGCCTTCACAGTGCTATTTATCCAAACTAAAGATATGTTGGCGGGAAGAAAGGGGGAGAGGATAAAATCTCAAAGGTTGTTAAGAAGCTTTGTGCAGGCAATTTGTGTGTTGAATTGGAGAGGCCTTGAATGATGCACTCCTTTCTCTATTTGTAACAGCAAATCCCCTCATGCCCAGGCTAGAAATGGACTAGGATTAGAACTCTTCAATCCAATTTGATCAAGTCTCGGCCAATCCTAATTCCTATAGGACTTTGAACCAAGCTCTTTAAGAATCCATATTCATCCCCTAATTCTCAGCATCCTTAGCCTTAAGACTCCTTATTGCATTGGAATTCAACTAACTCACCCTTATCAAAACCAAACCTCTTCGTAATAGGATTCGGTTGACCTTGACTGGACGGCCCATAACAAGATTCTAGATAAATACTACTGGTCCGAGAATGACTCTAAGTTTGGCCCAAAATAACATTTTGGGCCCAAACATTTATAGTGAATTTTATGAAAATAACATTTCTCAAAAATGCTCTCCCTGGGATTGTGTTTGATCATGTAGGTAAGTAATTCCCAGCAAATTTTTTGTTTGTAAAGTTTGAATTTAGGCTTCATTTCGTGTCTAGGATAGTTTGAATTGTATAACTTATTAGATTGAATGAAGAGTTGAATAAAACTACCAGTTGAGGGTAGAATGATGGATTAGTCACGAAAAAAATTTATCCCTCGCAAACTTCTGCCTTCGCTTGGACACTTGGACAAAATAAACAAGTGGGCATCCATTTTTTGATTCAACAGTTATTGAATCTACTGAGTTATCCTATCGAAGCCGATCCTAGACACCCAATGAGGCAATAGGGTTTAGGCACATGTAGGATGTGACTTCAGTGCAATTGGGTTTGTGGTATAACACAGTTACTGGTGAATTCCGGCATGCCCTTTCGTAATTTTTGCCAAAGAAATGAAGTTGAAATCGAATCGTTGAAATGCCTTCACGCACTTTGATTTGTCGTCCTTCACTTGCCGAATATTAGAAATCCTAGACATACAAATGTAGACAAATATTCGCAGGCAATTAGACATGATGGTTTGTTACCTGATAATTCATGAGATCGATTTGGCGAGTTTGAGCTGGCAGCACTCTTTCCGACCCTTTATTTGTTTAGCTACTAATTGATGCATGATCTCAATTGCGTTTAACTACCTAGCTGAGATCATGCATCAAGTTAGTAGCTCAACGCAGTTGAGCAGGCAGATCAGTCTGTCGATTGAGTTTGAGAATGATGAACTTTCTGTCTCCAAATAGATGTTGTTAATCCCGTAAATTGGATCGTAGACAACTAGTTCGAGGACTGAAGAACTTTTTAGTCTATAATAATTAGTATCCTTCGACTTCAATTTGTTCGAACTCATTTCATCTTTGGGTACCATCAGCATTCTTCCTTTGGTGGTGGAAAGATCGCAACGGAAATAGCTGTCTAACAATTCTTAAAATAAATCATATATTCAGTTTCAGGGATTCGGAATGCTTGCGACGGCCAAAAAATTCACCTTTTAACTCATGAGGCAGTGTGCCACATTCTACCCCCATTTAACCCATTCTCACCAACAATACCTGCACTTTGATAATTACACAAGTTAAAACCACAGTTGAAACTATATTTACTTAATGCTAAGTACAAAACAAAATTAATTTGTTTTAATACAAAACAAAATTAAATTTTATGCTAATCTTTTCACGCGGCGGAAAAAAGTAACATGAATATTATTTAAAAATTTGAAGGAAACCACCTGGTATTGGGTTTCCTTTTCCTAGTTAGAAAATAGAAAAGGCTTGGCTCCCAAGCAACCAGCAGTTCTACTCCGTGTAGGATTATGAAATCATTGCATTAGCAATTTATATATAGGCATAGGCAGAAGCCAACGAACCACAACAAACGATCATCTATTGCTTTCTTCTAAATTCTAACCCGAAAGACAACAATTATGGCACTTTCCAAGTCTCTCTTTGTTATTTGCTTACTGTTTACCGTCTCCTCCTCAGCCGCCGCACAACCGCCATGCACGACCCATGTCTTCTCCAACAAGAAAACCTTCGCCGCATGCAGTACTCTGCCCGTTTTGAACTCGACGATCCACTGGAATTACTATCCGTCGACAGCCACGGTTGACATTGCATTCACACAATCTGTGGTGAGTGACTCGAGATGGGTTGCATGGGCCATAAACCCTACGTCTACTGGCATGGTCGGTTCACAAGCCATTGTCGCTTACAAAAGAACCGATGGAACTATGACGGTTTATTCTTCACCAATTAAAAGTTACGGTACTCATTTGGAACAAGGGAATGTAAGCTTCCTTTGTACGACGTCTCCGCGGTTTATGAGAACAACGAATTCATCATCTTTGCGACCATAGGGCTTCCGAACAATGTCAGCGTTGTGCACCACGTCTGGCAGCAAGGACCCATGTTCGGGAACACCCCCGGAATGCACTCGCTTTCCGGACCCAATGTGCAATCTTTTGGAACCTTAGATTTTCTTTCCGGGAAAACTGAAACAAGCAAGGGAAGTACTTCAACGTGCCCCTTAAAATATGCGCATGGTATTATCAATACCATCAGCTGGGGCATACTTATGCCCATCGGCATAATCGTGGCAAGGTATCTCAAGACGGTTGAAGGGGCCGATCCGGCATGGTTTCATGCTCATAGAGGATGCCAAATGCTGGCTTTTCTTGGAGGGATTGCAGGGTGGGGAACTGGAATTTTTCTTGGCTCTAAATCTCCGGGGATTCAGTACAAAGGGCATAGATGCATCGGCATCACTCTGTTTGTCCTTGCCACGATTCAAGTAGCGGTAGCACTTTGTTTGAGGCCAAAGAAGACAGACGAGAATAGGAAATATTGGAACTGGTTTCATTGGGTTGTGGGGTATGGAACAATCGTCCTAAGCATCACCAATATTTTCAAAGGATTTGACATATTGGAGCCGGCAAACAAGTGGAAATTTGCTTACATTGCCATCATCGGTACTTTGGGATGCATCGCTGCAATCCTAGAGCTACGAAAACTAGGCTCTTTCCTTTCGAGGTTTAGAAGCAGTCGAGCTGCAGGGCCCGAAATCGTCGAGAGTACTCAAACAATAGTGTAACTATATACTTTTATTTGTAATTCATTGGTTGAATTTTTTTGTAATTTGACACTTAAATTAGACAGATGGTTTCTGTTACACGTATGCACTTTTATTTCAGTATTTTTGTTACATTTCATTAGCAATTTACATTTTTTTTGTCAGAGTCGTCAAACATCCAAAAAACTTGAGAAGATAAAAAAGTAAAAAAAGTAGAAATCAGCCATAACCAGACGAAGTCATAATCCCCCACAAATATTAAGAAAGTATTGATCTTTGACGCCAACTCAATGAAAATTTCTGTCAAAATAAAACACGTGTAAGTTCGGAAAATTTGTCAAACGTGCCAAGAATGTCATCCAATTTGTCAATGTTGCCACTCTTTCTGGTATAGATTTGTTGCCGTTCTTTGTAATCTAAAGGAATACAGAAATACAACGCGATTCAGAGGCCGAATTGAACTGCAAAGATAATTCTGTTTATATCTCAGCTGGTATACACCTCAGCATAATTTTTTTTTCTTTTCTTCCAAATACGAAAAGCATCCACGAAAACCATTCTACACGTCCAATTTCATTACACGATGACACAATGAAAAGATGATACTCCTTCCCTGTTTCCACTCCTTTATTACTAGTTGAATGATCGAAAGCCACGTTGCGCAAGGCAGCTTTCAAACAAATAAGTTAATTAATCGATTGATTAATTAACTTGATGGAAGGAACTTGATTACGCAGGAAACGAGCAGTTTCCTAGCTGCAGGGAACAAGAAAATAACTTCTGTCTTCACTTTACTTATTCATTGGTAAAACTAACGTTCTTTGCAGGATGTTATGTTGCAGGAAAAGGCAGCAGCGGTACCAACCAACGAATTCGACAGCCCTTTTCTTCTATCATGCCTGCAGATACCCTTTCTCCTCCAAATATGATATCACGGTTTCGGCCATCTCACCTGGGGAGACACAATCCCCACCCTTCTGCTGCAATACCATCTGCAAATCAATAAGTTGGACTCCAGTTTTAGAGATTAACATTGGACCGATAAAAACTAAGAAAACAGTAAACTGAAAACAAGGAAATACACGACATGAATGACATAGGGAAAATTACAAGGTTGATTTCATTGTTTCCTGGTCCAGTATTAATAGAAGTTTAGCAAGGTGGTGTCTAGTGAAATGGTGCCAGTCAAGACCAAACTTTTACACCTCAGCGCACTTTCATTTGGATCGTTCAACTATTCTGAATCTACACAGAAAATTGGGATTCCACAGGATGGCTCAATACATAAAATTCCTTACATGTTACAACTACTAAGATGGACGTAGATATAATTTCCTTTCAGACTGCAAGCAGATCTTTAGAACTGCATACGCATATATCTATACCACCAAAGCTAATCACACTAGCATAATCATTCTTATTCTTCTCTTTGTCCGATGAGTAATTAATTCATTCAGAAAAATGCAAAACGAATGCTACCCTACACAGAAGCATGATTTTACGTACCTCGCACTTTAATGGTGGCTCATATGGATCATCAACCCCTGTAAAGCCTGCAGAATGCCAAAGAAATTATCCACCGCTCATTATTTGGTAAGACTGATTTCGCAGGGGTGGGGAAAGAAATACAACAACACAACAAAGCCTTTTCCCACTAGGTGGGGTTGGTTGTGGGGGGATGCAACACGAGGACTTCCCAGGAGATCACCTACCCTAGTACTACTCTCGCCCAAACTCGTTTAACTTCGGAGTTTGGATGGGATCCAGTGCATGGGAGCTGGTATGATCGCATCCCAAGGATTCGACATAAGATGGGGAAAGAAATAATGCAAAATTATAATTTGGTACTGGATTGGCTTTAAATGCAAATTCCTAGAAAATACTTTTAATTTTTCCAGCTCGTGCAAGCTTGTACAGTCCCTTTGGGTCCCTATTCTCACACACATGCAGCGGCACGTCCATGTACACCTGAGAATTGTGAGTTTTATCAGTTCATCAATCATCACTGGCAAGATAGAGCCTCTTGTCTTTTGTTTCATTTGGTGGTAATAAAACCAAATTGAATGAGTCAAATTTTTGGATTGAATTCATTGCTCATGTTAAAGACACCACATACCTCAATAAAATCTCCTTGGGGAAATAGTGCACGGCAGGCATCTCGGTCCTTTCTGTAGGGAGATATTAAGCTAGCAATACAAATGATGCTAGCATCTGCAAAGAGCTTAGCTACCTCGGCTTTTTTAATTTTAGAATTAAATCAGTAAAAAGATAATAGAAAACAAAGGGAAAAGCCAATAATTTAACTACAAAAATACCCACCAATTCTTCGTATGTTTTCTGCACGATCTTCTGCTTTGAAACTAAGATCACGATTTAGACCGTGACGAACATTGTCACCATCAAGGATGTAGGTGAGCTTTCCTCTCATGTGCAAGCCTTGACTCAAAGCACATGCCACAGTGCTTTTTCCTAAATACAGAGACCAAGATATGATAATGTTGGTTATGAGATTGCGTAAACTATGCAGTGACAAATTGAACAGAAAGAATTACCGCAGTAAATAAAGATGTATCATACAAGTCTTCCAATTGTGGAGAAAGTTAATGTGTTAAATTTCTTCTCTAATAGTTCTTGCTTTATATTGTGCCCCTGCAGTAAACACTCCGAAATGGCTAATAACTATTACAACAACAACAACAAAGCTTTTTCCCACTAAGTGGGGTCGGCTATATGAATCCTAAAACACCATTGCGCTCGGTTCTGTGTGGCTAATAACTATTAGCTAAAACTAAAATTACAGGGTACTCCAATGTGTTACATATTATCAAAATAAAAGTAAAGGTATAATCAGCAATATTACAACTAAGAACCAGCACATATTGGTACTAAAGGAAAGCACACAGAAAGAGATTGTTAGCTAACAAGTCATCTCTTTCCATTCCATTGCGCATGTTTGTGTGTTTGCATTCATGCGTGTGTTTGTGTATGAGAGAGGGCGAGATACATAATGCACTCATACTAGTTAATTTCTTTTTCATTATCCTCTTTTGATATATTTCTTTGAAAGGGAAAGCTGAGGTCAAATGATGTCACCACCTTTCATGTAGGTATCATTATGCATAATGCCAGAAGGGTTATATACCATATCGGCATGATTACTTCTACGCAAGTTTAACTACAAGTCACAGATTCCCATAATATGCACAACAGAAAACCGCCAAATCTTACAAACTTCAGAACTATGAAAATAACATAATAAATTTTTTATAAGAATAACTACATAAGAAAAGAGTTGAAACTTTGTGGGCATATGCAGATAACAAAAATTGCTTCTGAGACGCCAATTAGCATTTGGTATAGCAAAAGTGAATAGAAACAAACCTGAACCACTTAGACCAGTAATCCATATGACACAGCCTTTCTGCTTAAGCAATTGTTGCCTATCAAGTTTCTCCACCGAGCACTTATGCCACACAATGTTTGCCGAGTTATCCATGGTTGACATCTGGTGCAAATTTCTACCTAATTAGATGGTTGGTTTAAATTAGAACCGTAAATCCATCCATATAAAACAGTATGTAATCTTACAACATTCTAGAACAATAGTTTAATGCCAATAAATTTCATTAAAGTTTCAACGATATATAAAATCACTAAATTCTGCAAACAGCCTTCCATAATCTAAACCATGGATCCTTACCAAGTGTCATTTACAGAACTGGGAAAAAAATGAACAAAGAGAAAAACACCTCAAACAGGTATGAACATCCTTTGAGGCTCAAAACAAGTACAAAATTCAATGTATCGTGTTCAATTCAAGGCCGACTGAAAAATAAAACTGCAAGAATTCCACAATCAGCTGGCTGAATTACGTCTAGACCGAAAAATAAATAAGCAGGCAAACAAAGAAGCAAGGTTCATATGGTTACTGAATCATCAACCTCCTAGGAATCACTTGAAATGCTTCAATTGAGCTCGAAAATGGCGGCTGGCAGCACCGATGAGAGTTTAACAGCATGAATGTTGTGTACAGGAGAAAAAGATACAGAGAGGGGTTGACCACATAGCAAAGTGGCAAAGAAGAGAGTAAAAAGAATGAGTCCACTCCAGAACCAATCATTTTGTACTGATTTGGTATTAAAGTGTTTTTATAAAAAAATTAAGCTCAAAAAGGTGTTTGGAAAACTTTTAAAAATAGTTTATTTTCACAGTTTTAGATGGAAAAAAACTGAAAACGTGAAGGAATAAAAATAAGTTTATTCTCACAGCACAACAAAAATATTTTTTTTTTAAAAAACAGCAATACCAAACCAACTCTTACAAAACCCAGTTTTCTTTTTCTGTGGGAAACAAAAAAATTAAAATGTCAATTTTTTATTACATGGGAATCCAACTTTAGAGTTTACTTTTCTCCCCCATTCCATTACCATTTCCACCCAAAGATGTATACATACAAACATAAAAATATATAGATAATCGTATATATTCTCACAATATTACCAAAGACCTTATATTTGAAAAGAGTTAACAAAATACTAAACATGTTAAATTTTGATTTGTAATTCACGAAAGCAAAGAACTTTATTTCCAATGGCATCAAATCAAATTAAATTTAAAAACAAACAGAGAAATCTTGAAATTAAAGGGGAGCAGCGAGTGCAGTACCAGAAATGGCAGGGTAATCATTCCTCAAAGAAACTGTCGGGTCCTCCATTGCCTTAATGGGGCGCAAAAGCCTGGATCCAATCGCAGCGCCGGCCTTTTTCACCTTCGAAACCCCCAGCTTCGCCGCCGACAACGACGGCGCCACCGCCACCAACGGTCCAGATTCAATGTCCCGCGGGGGGCCGCAAATCGACGGTTTCAATAACTTCACCAAACTCATCAATTACCAAGAAAATGCGGGAGATCACAATTAATGGATCAATTAGGGAAAATTCGGGTTTTAATATAATTTTAATTTTAGTGGTTTTGCAAAATTAGAGAGACGTGGAGGCAGACATGGAGAGCGAGGTTGACTGGTTGCGGCGCGAGAGGAGGTGGTTGGTCGATTGAATACGTTTTCTTGAGGCGACAATCAATGGCTCTGCTTCCATTTCTTTCTCGCCTTCTCTCTCTCTTCTTCTTTCTCTTTGCTACTTGTAGACTTGCAGAGGAGAGAGATCTTCAGAATCCAGTAGGAATGGCAACGGAGCAGTTTGGAATGGAAATATTATATCCATCCCATCCCTTTTTATTCATAACCATACCTAATTAATAACAGATTTTCCATCGCTTAACGGGATATATCTATTTTCGTTAATACAAAAAATATATTCGTTCAATTTACGCATAATTATTTAGTAAATATTAATTTCGTCATTAAATATTTGTTGTATAAAATGATTTAATTAATGGATTTTGTGAAACATAAAAATTAAAACTAAACATTGATAATATTGGTTGATCTTTAATATCTCGCATAAATACTATTAAATTCTCATAGATTTTGATTCATATCAAAACTTTTGAACTTTGCCACAAAATGTAACTCACACAATGCAATTTTTATATTCTCAAGATAATAGATTCAGCGAATAATGAGATACATATATATATACATATAATTATATTATATATTATTCAGTTCGGATTCGAGTACGGATATAGATTGGGAACCCCTATAACCATATCCAAAACTATAACCGAATAATATTCACAGTTTGTCCGCATACCCAAAATATACCCAAATTTTCATACCCGAATCCAATTCATTTGGACGGTTATTCACGGTTATCAAATTTAACGGTTAGAATTGTCATACCTAGAATCCAGCAACGGTTATGGTGGGAAGGGAGTTTTGTCCCACACGCTCTTGATGCGAGAATTACTTGACACTCAAATTAAACCCTCGTTTGACAATTGTAGTAGAATGGATAAGTGAGGGATCGTTCTAGACCGGGGATTAGGAGGGCTTGCTAAAACCTTCTAAATTGACTTAAGAACGTAAAAACAATATAAAACACTAAACTAGACTCAAAGAATGCAAAACTAAAATTTAAAACATTAAGACAAACCAAAAGACTCAAAACTAATTTTGGACGAATTTAAGATTATGGCTTGATTCAAAATACTTTAAAACATAAACTAAACAGATTCTAAGCACTAAAGAACAAGAAAGTAAAGGGGGGGGGGAAGTTTTGATTTGACAAAAATTGAAATAACAAAACAAGTTAATAAACTAAGCGGAATGTAAATATGAATTTGTGATGGAATGAATGGAATGAAGGCTAGCTAAAGGGTTCTTCTCCACACATGTTATACTTGCATACAAGATTGATTCTCAGTTGGTCTTTCGATAAATTATGAAACTCAACACTCCGGATTAATTAGGTCCGCTTAAATTAACCGTCAAGTTTTCCTTAATTTAATGAATTGGATGGGTTTGCGCAACGCAATTCACAACATTCTCCAAAAGTCCTTTACGTGAACAGCACAATAAAGATACAATCAAAGATCATTAAGTATTATGAAAACTATAAGTGTTGACGAGGCATTCGTTACTATGATGAGCATGAAACTCGTGCCAAGAATTCATTTAACGCGATTGTTTATAAGCAACCTCCACTACTTGTGAATATAAGTTCATAACGATTAGGTGAAAATCACTTATATTCTAGCGTCATATTTATGCATGAAAATTAAGCGCGCATTCTTAATAAACATTCATAAATAAGTTATCAATCAAATGGTTAAACAAATTGAATCCACAACTTATGAAATTCCAACGAAAGTTAATCAATTCATATTGCAAATATAAACATAGTTTCGAATCACCCCCTAGCTAAAGGGGGTTTAGTTCCTCATACCTTTGAAATCAAAGAAACACCTAAACATTCCAATAACTCAAAACTTGAATTGTATGAACGTTTAAGCATTCTTCTCTTCCATTCCTTATACGTACATCACAAAGAGAATTAAAATGAAACTTTGAAATCAAAGAAACACCTAAACATTCCAACAACTCAAACTTGAATTGTATGAACGTTTAGGCACTGTTTTCTTCCTCGTTGTTGTAGCACAAGGTTTAAGGATAGGTTGTGTGATGGTATGAAGTGTTTTTGAGGGATGGGAAGTGTGGAATGGAGGAAATGGAGAAAATGGAGAAGAGCACGGGAATAATGGGAATTGGCTGCAATGGGAAGCTTATGGTGCGGATTCCTCTCCTAAACATGAGTGAGTGATAGGTATATATAGGTGGAAGTGCATGGATTGGTGGAGATGAAATGAGAGATAATGGTTTAGGGATAAGAATTAAAAATGGGATGATGGATGATTAATTGTAGGTTGTTTTTGGTAGTGCACGGATTGGGGATAATAAAGAAATGATATGGTGGCTCAATAAGAAAATGGCATGAATATTGTATTTAGGGTTAGTGGAATTAGGGTTGAATGGATGGTGAATGGGATGAATAATGGGATGGTGGATGTAGTTATAATGGGATGAAAGGTAATGCACGGCTGATAGGAAATATGGAATATGGTGCTCGGTTTTGGGTGGAATTGAGGGAATAATAATTAGAGTGGTGGGTGATGGTGGCGGCTAGGGAAAAGAAATGGGATAATGGGCTGATTATATATTAGGGTTCATGGAAAATGCACGGTTTAGGGTTAAAGGGAATTAGGGTTTATGGATGATGGATAGGAATGGTGGGATGCACGGCTTAGGAGGAAGATTGTGTGATGCATTGTTTTGGACGTCCATTCCTCGTGCTCTATTTGCATACACCACATTCCAGCTCAGTTTTGCTCCAAAAGCTCCAAATTGCATCATTTCATGTAATATGTCCTTTAAATCTGAAAACACATGAAAGTAGCTTAAAAGACTACTTTAACGAAGAAAACATAACAAAAATGCATAAGAACTAGCTAACTAAGGCGCATAAATATGCTCCTATCAAATTCCCCCACACTTAACTTTTGCTAGTCCTCGAGCAAAACAAAACAACTTAAAGTAAACAAAACGAAACAAAACAAAGAAAACAACCTAAACCTTCCAACGTTTGCCTCAGGGATTTCCAATGAAACATGACATGTCAAAGATCATTACTCACATAGCTTTTAGTCCTACTTCCCCTTAAGCACATACTTAATCATAGTCACCATTCACTAGTTATATGTGAGAAGATTGATGTAAACATGAAAGACTAGTACTCACATACGTTATACAAAGAAAGCAATTTCGGGAGTAATTAAACGTGTATGGATATGATCTCATGAATGAGATGCTACTACTTAGATGCGAGAACCAGTGACACCATATGCTCATACCAAATTCAAACTCCACATTTGAAATGCACAACACTCAAGATAGAAGTCAAGGGTTGTAACGGGGCTTGGGGTTTTGGCTAACAAGGGAAGGTAAGGAATAACAAACGTTCTTTAAGCAATAATAAGTAAAGTAATGAAATTAAGACCTAGAATTCCCTTAGAATGCAGAAATCAACTTTTAAACAAATAGGGGAGATTCAAACAACTCTTAGGGCCTAATTCATTGTTTTGGGCCCTTACTTCAACAACCAATACTTTTCAACTATTTTCAACTCTTTTTCCATTTTTTTCTTTTCTTTTTCTTTCTTTCTTTTCTTTTTTTTTTTTTATTTTTTTTTTATTTTTATTTTTATTTTTTTTTACCGTGCCTATGGCACAAAAACTCACATGAATACACTTTCCCCCACACTTATTTTCTGCACACATTAATCAAAGGGAATTCATTCATGCTTACTATGCTTCAAGAACAAGGGTACGGATGGTCCTAATCTAGGCTAGGTGAAGATAATGTGGGTTAACAAAGAAAGTAGGCTACACAAGGCTCAACGGGGTTAAATTCTATAAAACAAATGAAAAGGGAAATATGGCAATTTGGCTATGGTGTTCACTACACAACTTCATCTTGAATACGTGTTATGCAAATCAATGACATGCTTTGAATGAAATGGGCATGAGTTCTAGCATTTGGAACTAAGTGATGAAACGCCTTCTAAGTAGCAACCAAGCAAAGAATAATGAGATCATGCAACGACTTTAGAAAACAAAGAATGCACAGATTTTAACTCTCCAAATAAACGTTTAAGCTCAAGTCTCACAGGGATGTAGTGTTAGTTTGAGCTCATTCCTTCAAGCATGTTACAAAAACTAATTTTTTTCTTTGTGATTACATGTGAATTCGTGAACTATAACTACAACCAAGCATAAACCAAAGAGTATATCAAACGTCCATCCATGTTTGTAACTTTCTTTAACCGTCATGCAATTAAAAACAAATCCTCATCATTGTGTTGGAAGGTAACCTACGACACAAATACACAAAAACAATTCTTTTTGGGTTTTTCAAAACAATTTTTTCAAATTTTTATGGGATTTTCGAATTTTTAAGTCAACACACACTAAAACAGTTTAAAAACATTTAAAAACAGCAAGGAACAACACTTGAAGTTATGGGTGATAAAATCCAACAAATTTGCATCAACATACTTAGTTACCCCCCCCCCCACACTTAAATCAAACATTGTCCTCAATGTTTTAAGCTTAAAACACACCAAACAAAAGAAAACATATAAAACAACAACTACACATACTAAACATGGCAGAATGTATCTAACAAAGAGAAGAGTTTTAGAGATGCAAATCTGGTTATGGAGTGTAAATTCCATCTTCTCCTTGGTGATTGCAGTGAGGCTTCATCTTGAGTGATTCCACAGGCTTACTCTTGATATGCGCTGCTCCCATCGTTGATTTTCCTTTGTGCTACTCTTGAACTGGGTAGCAGGCTTCCTTTGGTCTCCCCCGAAGATCTGAGCTTCCTCCTTTTATCTGTTTCTTTGTTCAATCTCTCCAATTCGTATTGAAGAGGGTTAGAGGATAGCTCAGCAAAGCTAGGTAAGCAACCAGGGAATAGAGTCCAGATAGACTCCAAGTGCCGGCTGATTGCTCCTTTCACTTTGCCATGCAAGTAATATCAAGTACAAAGGAAAAGACAGGGAAAGAGCATGATATGAGATACCTTTGCTTTTGCCCTTGATGATATGAGATACCTTTGCTTTTGAAGAAGCGGTGAATGAATCAGCACATGTATTTGTGGTGCTGTTTCCTCCTGGGTCATCTGTACTCCAGGCATCTGGTATCATCTTTGGGGAAGAAGAAA